AAAACCTATCAAGAATGAGCAAAATAAAATAGAAAAATAAAATAGGTACAAATATCTAAATGGTTAATTTTTATTGTAGCTATTATGATGGAAGCAGAAAAACAAAATTTCACTCTTAAATCTTATTTCAGGCAGAAGCCAGAAGCACAATATCTATATTATATGCAGTTGGTAAACAAGCACTGGCAGTGATTGCAATGGTGATGAATGAGCTGCCACCACTTGGGCACCAATAGATAATCTTAGAAGGAAATTGGTAGACTAATTTTGTAAAACACACAACAAAAACCACAAAGACTTTGATTAATTCTTGTCAAAAAAGAATTAACACATCAGCCTAATCCAAATAGATGCCACCAGAAAAAACTAATTAGCACCTTACACCTTCCCTCTAAACCCTTTGCCCTCTGTGCGTGAAGATCCATAAGGTGACTTCTTTTGGTCGTCCGATCAATAACAAATTCTACTCTTAGGACAATCAAATTAGTACCTGAACCAATTCAGAGCCGACCTATTTATCAGCATATATGGCATTGGATAAGCAGTAAATACATAGAAATAATATAATCACAAAAAACGATAATGTAAAACAAATAAATAGTTCATGCTGAAATGCATCATCTCTCAGCTAGCTAACCCAGTCCGTGATACAAAAATCAATCAAGATACTGTTTTGGTAAAGACTCTAGGTAAGATGCTGCCCCTTTCAAACTAACCTAAAGAATACCAATAGCTTTCTCTCTTTTTTTTTTTTTTTTTTGCCAAAAATAGCTTTCTCATCCTTAAATATACATCTTTGCGAAAAAAAAAAACATTGGAAAAAAAAAAGAATTTTGTATCTGAAAATTGAATTTCAGTCCAAAGAATGCCGGGACCCATAACATCGCGAGACGAAAGAACATTGGGTTAAAAAAATTAAGAAGAAATCAAATGGGTCAATGTAAACGAACCTGAGAAAGACACAGAAGCCCGGCTACTCAAGAAAGGATATCGGACTGATCGCCGGCGGGATCGCAATGCAGGGCGAACTTGAGATTGGAAGCTTCAGATTTGGGGAGAAAAAGTTACAAATTTTGTCTTTTTTTATTAAATTTAATTTAAAGATGGTATCTTTATTTTTT